AGAGGTACTTTCAGATTTACTCCTCCTACAGTCTGGGCTGCCTGCTGCCACATACCACGAGTGGCTATGCTGGACCAGAGTCCCCGAAATTGCTGAAAAATAACCCAGTGTAAGGCAAACTTTTACCAGGCACCATCCTCTTTGGCATACAGGCTGGTACATGTAGAATCAAGTTTATCACTAATCGCTATTAAAAGAGATGAAATGGCAAACACTGAAACAGCTACATCAAACCACTCCATTGAATGGCTTGCAGTCAGCAGGCAATTTCAAGGTTGGAGTGTTTTTTAAACGTCAGGAAAAAAGGAAGAAACAGGTATGCAGAGTCAGACAAACTGCCAGGACTCATGGAAAGTTACAAGCATGTAGGCCATGAAGGACAAGACAGAAATCTATTCAAACAGGGAAACATAAGAAAAACAGCCAGATTCACTGCTTATCTGTGTATCAGGTATAGCTGAGCCGGGAAAAACCGGGGAGGGAATTTTGACTCTGTTTTCAGTATAAACAGAAAATCATATATATTATCTTATTATAATTATTATATTTCAGTATAATCTGAATTTGTTATAAGCCTGATGGGTCTACCTTATCTATAGTAAAAATTGCCAAAAGCTAAACCATGATGACAACACAGCCACTTCTCCATGAAACCTAATGGCTCGTGCTCAGGCTCCTGCACTGAATCCTACACACTTCAATGACCAGCCAGAAAAAGCCACCAGCAGGCCATGCCCTAACCTTAGCTAAAATTAAGGTGCAGCAAATGCCTTCAGTCACAGCTCTGCATGCCAACAAGAGGTCACTGTCAGAAACGCTTTGATCTAACGCTTTTATAAACTGAAAATTTTATTAATTGCTCAGAAACCAGGCTGATTCCCTACCATTTAGGATCCCTAAGTGAATAGCAGATGTACACAGTAAGTATTCAGAAAGGACAGCTTTCTAAGGATTTAGGTGGATATCAAAGTTCACTGCTATTGACCATATTTTAAAAGGAAAAATTTTGTTTCTCAGCCTTGTAGAAGCAGGGGTAACCCTCCTCTAGCTTTATGAAAATTCTCAGCTTTGTGCAACCAGCAGACTGGGTCCCACTGTATGGAAATGGTCTGGATAGAGTGGGAACGCCGTAAATCAAAACTTCTTTGGTGTTCAACTAATTTCAAAACCAGTGTTCAGTCAGGTTTCAGGACAGGTTCACCTTCCCAAACAGCACTGGGGATTTTTTTGGAGGGAGTTGTAAAAGTTAACATGCCAGTCAGAGTGGCTTACTTTAATTGCATGATTTAATTAGCAGATCAACACTTTGCTACACAATTTTCAGAAGTACTTTCATCACGTTTCCTACTCAGCGGTGGCTAATAAAGTCTTAATTAAAAGAAAAAATCCTCAGATTTAATTGGACTGACCCTTGTCAGTATGTTTAGAAGCCATCATGTTTTACAGCTACTATTGAATGCATTAAGTCCATCTCTGCACTGGAATAGACTTTCTAGTTCACTGTTTGCTAGGTAAGAACTACAATTTTTTTTAAAGAAGCGATGTTTCATCATCATTTACTTGTATCCTCCTATTTTATTGCATATAGTAAAATATGCTAGTCTTAATATTAAAGATTTAATTAGCTCTTTAGCTGCTGCCGTTCATGAGAACAAATGGATCAACTTTTAATCTCAAAACTATCCCTCACAGCTGCCCACTGAATCGAAAACATTTCTGGTGTAGGACTATCAATAAACGAGAGACTCTTTGCAGAGAGTTTGAACGCATAAACCCCAAGGCCAGCTCCAGGAACAGCCAGTGCCATTTGGCACTCACTTCAATACCCCTATAATTTCAGGATGAACTTTGAAACGCTCAGATACACAAAGCAGTGACACAGATCAGCGTACCCTACACCTTGGACCCCTCGCTGAGCTCATGCTGGAAGGCTGCAAGAGCCCAGTTGCCATCAGCTGCATGAAAAACACAACAGCTGGCACATCACCACTTCTTTCCACACAAAGAAGTCACAGCAATTGGTACGTGCCTTCCCATTAAACTGAAGCAAAATCCCAAAACGGTCCTTGTTCTGTTCTTCTGGCAAAAAAACTGCCTGTGTAGTATTAACCCTGGGTGATAATTCCATTCCTTGCACAAGGAAACTTCGGTTCTTGCTCCTGACAGATTGGGAGAACTCTCCCCTCCCCTTCCTGCACAAACCTGATCAAACATTAGCAGCTCTCTATACAACTCTTTCAATGCACCCAGACAGCCTCAGCAGCTAACTAGTGCAACACAAATCCCAAAGAGCCCAGAAATTGCCTTTTTCACATATACCGTGTGCAGACACACACGCACACAAGCCAGCTACAGGAGACAGGATGGTTATCAGAATTTCTTAAAAGTTAAATACCGCTGTTTCAGTTGGGCTGCTCTCTAAGAAAACAGCCAGCATTACTTGACATTCACAAATCGTACGAAGTAATATCTTTATCTGAATACTAATGCAAATTGGACGGGCTTTTTTATATTGATGTCTATTCTGTGGCTGCTGAATAGAGTGACCGCATGCTCAAGGCTGCAAAGGAGTTCACTGACCTCCCTAATCATCTCTGTCATAGCCCCTGAATGACATACACATTCAATCCTGCCTCGCCTCTCTTACTTTCATTCATAAAAAAAGAAAAAAAAAAAAGAGAGGGAGGGGGGAAATTTGACATTGTTCTTCCTGCAGCAGCCCCGAGAACGGGAGAGAAGAGAAACTCAGCCCAGATGAGGCCCCTGGTGTTTTTAGTTTAGCTTCTATTCAGCAACAGCCCCGCCATCTGCCTCCTTCCTGCCAACAGCCGAACACCTCCCTGCGGAGATGTTAAAACCTGCACCCCCTCCACCTCCGCTAATAGCCAGTATTCATATTAGCAAACATACACATACCTCGAGAATGCCTCCCTTCAATGTGTGTTTTATGTAGCTGAGTATAGGCACAAAGCAGTAGCTGTTATAGCCTTCACAGCCCCGTGTGGAGAATTAGATCACTGGGGAAAAATCCTTCCAAGCCCCTTTATGGAAAATAAGGCCTTAGACTGTAAATGCAAAGCCCAGCGAACAACAACCCTCAGTAATGAGCCAATACCCCATGGCCCATTTGACTAGGAGAAAGAATTTGCTTTTTCCCATTCAATTCAAAAAGACTGAAAAAGTAAAATGTGTTTTTACTTGGCTCTGAAGGTTTATATTCTTTACAGTTTCTTTTGCACAACCTTTCCCCCCCAGGTCGGACAGGCAGCGGGTGCCCTCTCGGTGGCAGAGCCGCTGGCTTTGGCACAGAGCTGGGGAAGCAGCACTGGCTTCACGCTTCCCCACGCACGTGGAAGATGGTGGGACAGCCACTGGCACTGAAAAACTCTCTCTCCCCTCACAGCCCTCGTCCACCGGAGCTTTCAACAGCCCGCAGTGATGGGGCAACCCAAAAACATTGCTAGGTGTTAGGGTTGGCGGGAGCCGTCCTGGTTCAGGGAGGAATCCCACTTCCAGAGAGCGGAGCGGGAGATGACAGTGCCACCTCTGCTCTGGAGAAAGCTGACCCAGAGGTAAGAGCCTGTCCCGAGGATCTCCACGGGAGCTCCTGGAAATCCCAACCCATCCCTCACTTCGCAGTCATCACCAGAGGGATGTTTCCCCCCGTGTCACCTCCAAGCACGCCACTTGCTGCAAACAGCGTCCCAAAGCTTTAACTTGCAAAACTATCTCGGAGCACGGGAAGGGTTTAGCGCCACTTTAACACATTATCAACCCCAGCTACGGACTGAAGGTGAGGGTGGAAGCCCACGGACTACTGAGGCAGCCACCGAGGCTGCTCCTCGCCCCCAAGGGATCGAGTGTGCCTGAAGTGACAGCACCAATATGCACTTCAGGCTAAGGCAGAGAGAACTGGGGACACTCCGCGTCTGTCACTCGCACCCCTGCGGCCAGCACAGGCTGCCCGCTGCCTTCCACACACCGACCTCATCTGCTCTGACCAAGTCCCTGCGATGTTGCCCCATAAATCAATTCTTTTGGCTGTGAAAAATGAGCCAAACGAGTTACACTAAGAATCTGGTGTTTTATTAGGACTTTCTTGAAAACAAACCCAACCCCCGGTGTGATTTATAGCTTTAACCAAAAGGGGTATGAAAGTAATGCCCCCCACCCCCCAGGCTCCACGAAGTCCATTTATTCCCGTGTCACTTTTTTGGCAAACAGGCTTCAAACCCTTTCCTGAACAATGGAAACTTTCTGCCGGGTACATGCAAAGCGGATGACGGGGGGCTGCGAGGGGGCTCCCTTCCATTAAAGAGCTTTGAAAAATAAACAGGGACTCAGGTAGCAGCTGAGGCGGATCAGAGAGACACGATGATTCAAACCCGCCGTATATTACTTGGAAAGAAGAAGAAGAAGAAAAAAAAACCTCCAGCTTTTGTCCGACGTGTTAACTTTTTTCACTTGCAACTGCAGCGCTGCCACTCTAGGGGAGATGGTCACCGGCTCCCCCGAATCGCAGTTCCCTTAGCACAGCCGCTTATTCAGCTGCAACCCACCTTGTGCCTACCCGGAGCTGAGACAACTCCACTTTCGCTCCCAAGACGCGGATATAAATGACCTTTCCCTACTTTTCCCACCCGCACACACGCAGGCAGAGCATTTCCGATGTGTGCCGAAGATGCGCCGCTACACACGCACGCGAGCATCTTCCCAGCTGTTACCCACCGGGTGACATGCGCTGCCTCCCTGGGAGAGGGCTCCTGGCAGACAGGGATCCTCTTAAAAGCACTTTGTCCCTCCTGAGCGCCCCTGAACTACCCCGAGCCACGGCGAGGTGGAACCACCCCGGCCCCGCGTTCGTAACTCCCGCTCCACAGCCGCCGGCGGCGGTCTCCATCCATCCGCCCCACCGCGCTCGCTCAGGGACCGGGACTCCAGCGCCGAACCCGGCCGGGCCGGAGCCGTCCCCGCAGAGCACGTGTGTGCGCAGCCCTTACCTGCCGGCTGCCCGCCGCTCCTCGCCGCCGCCGCCGCCTTGCCTCCTTGCCGCCGCGCCGCCGGCATCCCGCCGACGGCCGCCGCCAGGCACAGGCACCAGACGGAGCCCCAGGCCGCCCGCATGCCTCCGGAGCGGCGCCGGGGCAGCGCGGCCGCCGCCGCACCGCCCGCCTCAGACATCCCCCGGCCGCCGCATGCTGCCGCCGCTCACCGCTCCGCTCCGCCGCCGCGCTGCCGGGACAGGGAGAGAGGCGTTCAGCGCGGGGAGGAGGGCGAGAAATCCCCCCGCCCCCCGTTCCCGCACGGAGGAGGAAACAGTAAAAATAATAGTAAAAAAAAGGCGGAAAAAAAGTGGTGGGAGCAGTAAAAAAGTGCACGGAGCCGCGCCAAGCCGTGCCCCGAGCGGCGGCGGGGCGCCTACCTGCGCAAGCCCCGCGGCCGGCCGCGCACCGCGCATCGAGGGACGGAACGAGGGACGGAGGGAGCGAGCGAGCGCCCGCAGGAGCCGCCGC